AAGTTTCAAAAATTGAATTATTAATTTGGTATATCGATAAAAAGAGAAAACTTTGAATCAATCTGACTGGATGATCTGGTGAACTGGAAAGTGACCTGAGATGACATGATGTGAATTGGAGCTATAGAAATAAACTGAACTGAATTATCTTTAAGCAATACAAATTAACAGTGCAATTAATCTATGAGTTTTTGTTGGATAAATGCATAAAATAGATGCATAAAATTCCTTCATCTTTTAGTTTCTTTACAAATTGCTTTTCCAAATATCCTTATTCCCGATCTGTTTGCATTATTCTCTCTGTTTTTATTGTATTGTTTGTTTCCCAGAAAATGTTCCGTTTCTGGAAAATAAGGATGAAGGTTTGATCAGGAAATTTGAGCAAACCTGAATATTTAGATTAAATGACCGAGATGGTTTTATTTACCAACAAGACCAACAGTCTGCCTGTTAAATCCTCACATAATTAAGAAACATTGAATAAATAAAACCTCCTTTATTCTTATTCATCTATTTTTGCGTCACAGCGAGCCTCCATCGTGTCTCCATATACTAAACAAAACCTCTGAGATCCGCCGAGAGGCAAATATCGCTCCTAAACAATAAGGACGGCAGCATCTTTATTTATTATTTTCTAATTATTTATCCCCTTTGTTCCCCTCCTACCTCCAGGCTCCCGGTGAGCGGCAGAGATAAACCCGCAGAGCAGCGCTGCTTCTCCGGCTGCCGCTCCGAGCGGATCCACCGATCAGGAGTCAAGCTGGAGGCATTTAGATAGAAACCGGAAAAAACAGACTAAAGACTGTAAAACAGGAAGGATTGATTCTCCTTTACGACAGTCAAACATTTACATAATGAGCATTGCTTAATACACAATAAAAACGGTATTTTTATCTTTTTTTTTGCATTGACGGTAAAATCAGAAACCCAGGGGCGTGCACAGGATGTTTTCTAAAGGGGGCTGTGATCAGTGGCGGTTTTAGACTGAATGTACCAGGGGGCCAGGAGGGGGCCATTGTGTTTTCATAGGGGGCACAGAAAAGCTTGAAATAAGAAACAGGGGAAGGGATTCAAATATATTACGATAGCTGCGTGAAGTGAAATTTCTATTCACTTATGTTTAATTAAAATTCTATGTCTTATTAGGTCAGGCTCTGACTGGTAATCTGTGATAGCGGGCATTTGCCCGGTAGGCCGGTCCTAATTTCAGTGAGCGAGGGCCGGTGTAGGTACCAGATTGACTCGGGGGCCTGCGCCTTTTGATGACGTCACAATATGGCAACTCCACCCGTCACACTATATGGCAACGCCACTCGTAACGATATGGCAACTCCACTCAAACAAACTACATTGCGCCCGCGGTCTCTATTTGTCACAAATCTATTTTATTTAGCCAATAAACGGTAATCGTTTGGCACTGTCCGTTAATTGACCAAATACCTATAATATGCTGAGATGCGTCACAGCGT